GGTGGCTAAACAGTCTGTCTATAATGAGCATAGAATGTGAAAAAGGTGGCTAAACAGTCTGTCTATAATGAACATAGAATTTGACATACTTCGAAAGCTAGACTTTTCGAAATTCATTGACGAGCTCAGTTATAATAAAGCCAGAAAAATACAATTCTAACTTTATACAGGTACATGAGGTTCTAATCAAGTTGTCTTCATGATCATCCATGAGTGAATAAAGTGTGTTTGTACACGTTTGTGGTTTGTCTATATTGTTCCCAGTGTTACAATACTGTTTATATCCTTAAAATGTTCTCACATGTATATGCTTAACATTATGACAGGGAAGTTGAAACAGTTATCTAGAGATCAATATATCTATGATGGGAAGGGGGCCTTTTCTTCTCCTACCGCCAGGGGACCAAACCACTCTTCATCTGTTACTGGTAATGACCTACTTTATTTGTGTTATATGTTACTTAATATAATATTTAGCAGTACATTGAATTCTTTTTTCCACCTTTAAAAATTATTTTGTATTGTTAGCTTAATATATGGATGCAAGACTAACCCAAATATCTAAAGCTGATGAAATCTAGATGAGAAATTATTGGGATTGCGGCTAAAAATATCGTTAATAACGAATGAACCCAGGTATTAATTCAACACATTTTATTCACTATAGTGCTGGCTTTATGATATATGTGTGTGATGATTTTAGCACCATAAACCACACCTCTATGACTAACGGGAAAGATATATATGCATGAAGTCACAATCTATGCGGTTACTTATGGAGGGCAGCATGTTTTATGTGTAGTCTTCCCAGGAGAGTGAGTGAGTGACCTAACTGATTATTCCCTATAACAGAAGCGTTATGCTATAAAGTCATGTTTGTTTGTAATTAAGCACAAAGCTACACAATGGACTATCTGTGCTCTGCCCACCACAGGTATCGAAATCAGGTTCCTAGCGATGAGGGGCTAAAACTATGTTTTTTGATTAGTATGCTTCATATTTTTTTTTTTTTACATGTCTAGACAAATCTTATATATGCTAAACAAATACTCAAACTCTCGAGTATTTGCATACGTCTAGTGGATAAATTACACAAGTCTGCGAATTTAAATTTCATAAAAGTTATTTTGGTTTTGATAACGGAGCTTCCATAATTCAGCTACGCAGATTTCGAAAATAATATTCTTTTTTTTTTCTATCACGTAATGATTTTCTACAAATCGGGAAGAAGAAAAACTTATTTAGATCAAATTATTATTTCGTTTACCACAATGAACATTTTTTATTATTATGTTTGTTAACAAAAATACAAACAAACTGAAGAAAAGGGAAGTACATTGATGTGAAACGAATATGCATCCTCATTCATCCTGATTTTTTTATGAAATCTACGTCTTTTAGTCTCAAAACTACGTGTTGTGGCCTTTCTTTTATGTATTGCGTTATGACATTTTGTGAAAAATGGATATCATTTTCGGATTCAGCGTACAGGAATTACTGTAGAACATGTAAAAAAATATCAAGACAATAAAACCATCGCAGGCCTGTGTTATTGTTAGTTAAGAAAGAATTTATAAATACGATTTATGGTCTTTTGTCATTGTGACCTTCAACAAGTAATTAAATTTTGAATTAGGGTACCGACGATATTATTCTATAGTTGAATAAAAAGTAATTTTAAATGCACGTGAATATTCATATGTGTGATTAGATGATGCTGTTTACACTGTTTCGAGACAGATATAGAAATCTGTTTTTGTGCGAATGTAGTTAACAAATCTCTCACGGGATGTCGCTTGAAAACTTCTTTTTATAGCTTGGTTTTGGCAAAAGAACATGCAACTGCAGATGTTGTTATAATTATAACTGTATACCATTCCAGGTGAAGTGTGTACTTATGTCGTCATATTGATATATATATACATACGGTTTTTAAAGTACTGTCCTGATCATTGCGAACTTATAATTATATATTGTCTGTTTGTACTTCAGAAATCTAGATCAAATGGATCAGTGGTCTCGAAAGTAAATTAGATAAAATAACTTTTAAACAGTCATTGATAAGATAATTAGATTGTCTTACTATAAGTTAAAATGTGCGTATATTTAGCCAGTATATCAACGAGGAGCCCCTTTTGGTAGTTTTAGTATAATCGTATGTGGTTGTTATTGGATTAATCCATACACAGCGTACGACCCGAATCTTCATACACAGAGGTTTTAAACATAGAGGTCTTGAAAAGAAAGGTGTTTTAACCAAACTTCTGTTTAGTCAGCAAACTTAAAAACATGTTTGTAGTTGAGTGATTTTGTAATGTATTCCACACAATTATTTTCATATTTCAAGGTTAGATGTACTGTAGTTTTAGAAGAACGAGGGTTACTTGGCAAGGTATAGTTTCCATCGTCGAACGAAATATTATTTTTCTTTACATACTGCATCTGATGTAGCTTTAGGTGGTGCCAAGTTTTCGGAGCAAACTGGTTTCTAATCGCCGTGTACCTTGAGAGTCGTGCACGTGTTTACACTAGAGCAGTCATGCTTTTTTAAGCTGTCCTTCAAAACCAATTCTCTGCCTTAAAGCAGTATCAGAGAAAAAAGTGTGACGTCATTTCATCATCCAATCACAAACTATCCGTCAAACACAACTGTCATAAACCATTATTGAATTAGTAATTTGTACATTTTCTTTCTTGTTTGGATGTATTACTACTACTACTTCATGTTTTACACACAATCTTGGCGAAAAATAAAGTAAACAATAGCAGAGAATGACGTGAGTATGTTTATGAAAAATATATACATGTTTGTTTGTAGTTAAGCGCAAAGCTACACAATGGACTATATGTGCTCTGCCCACCACGAGTATCGAAACCCGGTATAAGTCCGCAAACATACCGCTGTGACACTGGGGGGGGGGGGGGGGGGGGCGATATATACATCTCTAAGTTTCTCTTATGTATATAGTATAGTTTCACAATCAAATTTCTTGTTGTTTTTTTATTTCTTAAATGGCTTACAATTTGTACTCCATTTGATTATTATAGAAAAATTTTTAACACTTACGCTCTTATACCCAACAATATTGGCTATTCATTTTCCCATATCATAATAGAAAACTCATAATGTTTGGAGTGTATCAGTACACATTATTATTATACTTGTCATAAGTATTAGGTCTATCATATTTTTAATCTCTTAGGGATTTTCAAGAATTAGAAGAGTGTATTACAATAATAGTATTCCAACCACACAATATTCGTCATATCCATTGCCGAAGACGCGCTTCGCCCAATCTAGAGCTCTTCAAGACCGGCTGGAATACAACAAACACAGTTGTGGTCGGAGCACTATTTATATAAGTCACTAGTTACAACAGCACACTGTTCTTTACAGTTTTTCAACTTAAAATAAAAACACTGTTAAAGTTGTCAATTTTGTGAAATATCATTCCGCTTGTATACATCATGCCTATTAAGAATAGATAATTATAAACATAGAGTAAACGGAAGCAAGGCGTTCAGGGTAAAATCTAATTCACCAGGTTTGGTTTTATTCATATAAGACTTGAGACCAATCAGAATGTAGGGTTTTCCTCCACGCCCTACACAGCCTTCACTTTTTTTCATTCTAGTCTTCTGTTCAAAAATCATAGAAGAACGAAAAGATCTGAATAAGATCATCAACTATTCTTACAAAATTTCACAGCCAATTTTTAACCCGAAAGACAGAGACTTTGGTGTGTTTTTTTTATCTCCATGTTCGTTATCTTTTAAAACTTTTAAGGGAGTTATGTTTAGTTAAAATCCTTGAATCAAAATATACATGTTTCACAGATCAATATTATAATAGGGTACATTTACAACTTCTGTATTAACTTATTACCAAGATCATCAAGTCTTTTTATGGTTATGCTCTAGAATAGGAGGTAAACCACCAATGTCGCTGGTAGAATTCAAAATATCATATCCTAAGGTTCTCAGAACTCCAGAGCAGTACTTTTGGATATTCTCTATTTGAGGAAACGAGAGTCGGTGGCGCCACTCGAACGCGACAGCAGATGAGTTCCTGTGAGTGGAGTAAGGGTCCGCTTCCGACCGCCGTGTGTGCGATGCAATAAATTTAGGCACCGCACTAGAGTAATGAAGTTGCAGACGTTCGAATAACATCATGCTTTGTTCCTGCGGGTGAACAGCAAGATCTTCGTATCTGATGAGAGTGAACTTGGTAGGATTGTCCGCTTGCAGTCGATAAAACACGTCCAGATCTTTTTCAGTCTCGGTACAGAGTACTCTGTAGTTAGAACAGTTACTATTCATACACCAATCCAGGACTTGCCGTGAACTGAGTGTGCCGCGTGGATCTCGCACGAGGTAAAGAACGTGTATGTTTAAGTCTAAGTTCTGTTTTAAAAACATTTCAACTTGTGACATTTGCAATCGTGTGAGTTTCATCACGTGCGTGCGAGCTCTTTTGCAAACAGACCTAACAAAATAGGGAGTAAAACAGATCCACGGCTGCAAATGACAGAGTTGCCACAGAAACTGATTTCTTTGGAATAAGAATTGATTTCTTGGTTGCTTGATCCATCTGAAATACTCATCTTCTTTCTGAAAGTCACATCGCAGCAAGTTCCTCAGATGGTTCAAAGCTTCTGGAAGCTGGTAATGTACAATCCTAGTACCATCAGACATAAAGTGAAGTGGTTCGAAGTGATAGAAGGTCATCCTGTTTTGTTGAAGCAGTTCCCCGAGAAACGTAGAACCTGACCGGAAATACGTTACTATCAGAATAAAAGTCACATTCGTAGGACTTATCTCGGGTAAATTGCTCAAAAACAGGTTGGACTGATTTGCTAGTGATGCTCCTTTGCTCAAGACAGATCCTGTTTGTCGAACTATTTGCTCTAACTTCTTTAGTACTTCAGTAGATGAGGGTTTATTACTTCGTAGGCTGACCTCTGATTTACTTGTTTTCTTTAATCGTTCATTTTGACTAGAATCACTGGATTGGGTACCTAATTGTTGGGATGTTTTTTTAAACTGCTTTGCCTCGAATATTTTTCCTGTTCTAGTAGATTTAACATTTGACTGTTGGTTTGTATCTTTAATTCTAAGATCTGAACTGTGAGTTTCATTGATATATTTCCTACTGGGTTCATCGCTCGACGGTCTTATCGAAGAATAGCCAACTTCAGTTTGATGTAGATTTGATAAATGAAAATGTTTGTTAAAACTTTGGCTCTTTCGTTCTTCCGTAGTGTCTGAGTGAAGAGTCAGCAGATCTGTAGTACTTAATGGTTTTTGGTTCGAAATTTGACCAGTTTTGTTATCATTAACTTTGGATAGCTGAATAGAATTATTTGTCAATCGATCCAACAACTGCTTATTACTACTAACTTTAATTCCCAGCTGTGATTTTAACTCGTCTGAATTTCGGTTGATTTTGGAACTTGAAATGTCAGTATTAAACTTTTTAACATCGCTCTGTTTCTTTGGGAGAGAATTTTGAGCAGTGACTTTGATATCAGATTTCAGAGAAAGAGTGTTTAATCCGTGATCTTGTAAGTCATGAGTGCGAAAAGAATCCAAAGACTGCAAATGTTCGTCAGTTTTAGCGACCACGGTGGCAGAAGTAATGTTTTCCGGGAGTGTTGTCTTGACATCACTTTCATTTTCTGAAAACCGTGAAAAAAATAACAATCATAAAACCTCAGGTAGAAAGTAGTGTTTCTCTTTCATGAAACATAGCATAACGTATCTGTAAAATAACAAAATATTCGGAAAACTTTCAAACTTGTAAACACAAATCTAAAGAGCTAGTTTTAGCTTGATTCGGATGGCAAAACATCTTTACTTATTAGCTAGCTCAACGATCAAATATAGTGAAAGATAAAATATAGCTCTCGATTACCACTGACAGACTAATGGTTTTCAAGTAATTTAATCTAAATAAGTTATTTGCCATTAATTAACGAAATTAGATTATAAAGCTATAACCGTAACTTTGTTTCTATATATACCAAATATAAATAATTAACCACGCTTATTACAGCTAGGGGGTTGCAAAAATGCGAATTTTAAAACTATAAAACCCACGCATTATTTCAAGATATTCAAAGAACACTTCGTTTCGTTTTTGTAGAGACCTTATGTTTCCTTGTTTTTGCTCACAAGTTTCTTGAATAACATAGAATAGTTGATCTTACAACAAACAGGTGATTAAGTTTATATACACAGAGTGCACCCTACCACTTTCTTATATTGCTCTGAACACTTGAGTAACAGTGATCGAGACACTGTAGATTCTTTGATTACATAGGACTGAGCATGTTATATTAAAAATATAAAATATTTTGGAGCCTCATCACGTCGTTACAGATCACGTAGGCACATTTTTTCATGCTTTATCTGACGACCGAACGTCTTGATAATATCTCTACAACTTAGATTCCTTTGCAAAAGCGACGTAATGCTGTCACGTCCAAAGCACACCACTTCCCCTGTTTGTTTCCACAATCTATCTAGAGTACGAAAACTAAGGTTTTCCTGCACTCATTCAACAATCGAATTGCAAAAAAATCCACAGTTGCAGCGTACGATGACTTGACCAGTATGCCCTTGTATGTGATGACATGAATACTCGTTTTATTCTTCATATTATTGAAGTATGCTACCATTGAACAGTAGGCATGACTGAAAGCATGATTTTAGTAATCACATATTCTACTGGCCTCGTTTCCAGATAGAGATCTTTTTGATTGTGTTACATTCTTTTGCCTGAGACTCATAGATGGCTTCTGCCCTTGACCTTTGTGTTCGTGGATTTTCATCTGTTACAAAACGCCGCATTTTGCCTACTACGGCTGGGGTGTAACTTGTTGCAAGTCCTTTGTTTTCTGATGTTATTAATTACAGTGGATATCCCCGTCGTGAAAATTCTAGATCCTCAATCTGAACTCAACCCTGTATATATATATATATATACACACACACATTGTAGTACCGAAAAACATGACTGTAGCTTCTATCTCCCTAGTTCATTATTTTTTATTTAATGTATGCTTAAGTCCTCTTTGTTACAACGTTGAATGAAATTACTAGTTGGTTTAACATCAGGGTCTGTCGTGAATTTACAAATGATGTGGATTATACGCAGCGATACTTACAAAATTAAACTGGCAAAATAACTATTTATGAGTATTGAATGACGTTCTCAGATGTAAGTGCGCTATTAATTAAGAGCATAAAGCAAGAAACCTACTAAAGTTATACGTGTAAAGGATTAAATATTATCTCGACAAAAACGCAACATTTGATATTTGAATACTGGATTATAAAGATCAAAATTTCTGACGAATACGACAACTTCTTATAATGAAAAGCAAACGTTGTTTATTTTGTTGAAAGTTTATAACGGTACCCACCTATTACAGATGTTTGATCATGTTTTATATAGATGGCGCTGTTTCTAAAACCAATCCAACCGTCAAGATAAAACTGCAAGAAAACTAAACAAGCAACGCCACCTAGTAGAGTAACAAGCAAAATTTTTGTAATGGCCATAGTGAAAACCTGTAAGAAAGAAACAGAATTTTTTGGTGTGTGTATGTAAACAACAATATGAAGATAATTATACTTAATAATATACACAACGATATTTCACTGACAAACAAAAGCTACAACAGAACAATGTAGCAATTTATTTTCACATATTTTTTACTTCTTGAAAAACTACATTATATGTAGAAAAAAAAAAAAGGCGTCTATCGTCATAAGTATAATAAGTAGAATCGTGATCAAGATTCGTTGACGATGTTTCATCTAATAAATTTTATAAAATAAATCTGGTGAACCAGTTATAAAGATAACTAAAATTTCCAAAAAGCAATGAATTTTATCAGTTGCTTAAATATATTATCCAGGTTGGAAGTTTAATAAAGACTAAAAAATGGTTTTAAAACATTATCAATACTGTTCTAATGATTAAAAGTAGGGATAAATTAATTAATGTTGATTGTAATGTTAATGTACAAAGTGGTTACGTAAAATACGCATTCAATGTTCGCTGTAGAACACTCTTGTGTTAATATACTTGCAAATGATATATTTTTAACATATCAATTAGTTAAGTAGATCGAACAAACCCGGCACAATCTGGTTAAATACAGGCAAACAAAATATCGTAACACACAACTATTCTCATGTTACAAGTAATCGTACCTGTACAATTATTAATTTGGGAGAAATTTTTCTACCCTGCACGATGCTTATTTGGGTCTGCACAATGATTTTATATTTGGTCATCTTTAACAAAAAACACAAAATTCAATTTCATACAATGATTTCGACCTGTACAATAATTAAATCTGAAGTCTGAATTTTTTCATCCTGCACTATTAATTGGAACACGAGAGTATGCCTCTCACGTAACATTTTCGCTTTCGTCTTTACGTCAGTGCTTCTGTTCTATTTAAGCCTTATAGTGATAATTAAGTGGGCAATAACATTAAAATAAATGCGAAAGTCTGATTACTGTATGTGATAATTCAAGTGTTAGTGCAATAAAATGAATATTAAATAATAACGGCGCTAATTGCGCACTTACATACACGTATACGATTCTGATAGATTTTGGAACGTGATACGCCTGCGCTGAACTCTGATAACTTCAGTATGCAAGGGTGAAAAATGAAAGAACGATTTCATTGTTGGCGACACTGTGACTCGTTAAAAATTGTTGTAAAAATGTTATACTACTACTAGTTACAGCTTCATACAGGAAATTATAACACTGTTGTATGGACGTATCTCTAAACGCTCACTTCCAGTGTTTATATACCGTATTTTTCGGAATATAAGACGCACCTTTATTTTGAAGAC